GAAAAGGTTGTCAAATTATCAAAAAATGTTTCAATTCATGCCACATTCAAGAAAAGTTTGATTGTTATAAATTTTGGGTGGGTTACGATTTAGAGTAATTTAGAGTTATTGTATTTCATTAATGTATTTCTTTTATTTACTTTAGGTTACTAGTTAATTATGGTCATTAAGTATGAATATTACAACTCTTGGAATGCTTTCAGTTTCATTTTGAGGCTATATAAAGCTATTTATGTTGTATTTGTAGGTAGACTTGGAAAATACAGTAAAAAAAAAGCAGCCAATGACTAAGTTTCTTTGCAATTCTATGTAGTTTAGGTTGCATGTAGAATCATTCAATCTCAACATGATCAATCTTGCTTGTGGAGTGATTCGAATCTCAATCAAGTGTTCTTGTCTTGAGATATTTGATCAACAAGAATCATTCAAGCTAGAAATGATCGATCTTGCTGTGGAGTGATTCGAATCTCAAACAATGTTCTTGCCTTGAGATATTCGATCAACAAGGTAATCTGAATCTTACTCCCCTTGTAGTGATTTCCACGTATCAGATACCATTTGTAACGGCCCATGCTGTGATGTCCCACATTGGTTGGGGAGGAGAACAAATCACCTTTTATAAGTGTGTGGAAACCTTCCCCTAGCAGACGCGTTTTAAAGCCTTGAGGAGAAGCCTGAAAGGGAAAGCGCTATCTGCTAGCGGTGGATCTGGGTCGTTACACATGCTCACTATTAACAGATATTGTCCTCTTTGGGTTTCCCCTTTCGGGCTTCCCCTCAAGGCTTTAAAACACGTCTCCTAAGGAGATCCTCCCGAACCAATGTAGGATATCACAAATTACAATGATACGCTACTTTTCGAGTATAAACCGTCATTAACTAGGTGATGTTTACGTCTCTGCCACCAAATTTCTTAAATTTACTTTCTTTTTTGTACGTGTGTCGTGTCGACTCGACTCGGCAAAATAAACAAATTTTTTTTTTTATTAATGAAAAATTTCAACCATATCAAACAACACTAATCATAATGTGGAAATTGATAGCAACCCCAAACTAAATCAAGAAATTGATTGAAGGAAATGAATTTGTTTATGGCTAAAATTGGAAGGCTGAATGAAATTGGGGGGTTTCTTTGCAAATTATGCAAAAGTCATATTGTGGGCCCAATTGTAAATAAAGTAAAGTTGGTGGGTCACCAAAATAAAAGTGGGAGACCCATAATCAATTTCTTGTGTATTGCATTAACCAACCCCCAACTTCCAACCATATTATATATATATATATATATATATATATATATATATATATATTTATTTATTTATTTATTTATTTAGTTTAAATATTATTTCAAAAATTTATGTTTTGGTCCTTATGAAAATTTTATTTATTCTTTTAATTTTTTTTATTGAATTTAATAAAATTCTCGGTCAGCTTCTCCCTACCCGATAGTTATATGTAGTAAGCTGTTGTCGTTGCCTTTTTGCTTACATTTCCATATAACACAAATTTCAATTTCTCAGATCTTGTTTTCAAAACTCTCTTTCGAACGTTTTCTAAAACTTTCTTCTTGAACCGGGGCTAGAGACTTGAGTATACGTCGCTTGGCCGTAAGCGACGCAAGAATGAATAGGCTTAACTCACTTGTTGCTGGGAAGTAAGTGTCGTGTCACAATTGCACTTTTAATAGCAGCGGACTTGCAATTCTGCAGCACTCACTTTCCAACGACAAGTGAGCTAAGCCAATTCGTTCTTGCGTCGCCTACGGCCAAGCGACGTATGCTCGAACCTCTGGCCTCGGTTTTAAGAGAAGGTTTTAGAAAACGAGGGCAGAGAGAGATTTTTGAAAGAGACGTTATATAAGCAAGCAAGAGAGAAATAACAACGGATTACAGTATATAACCTTGGTTAGAGAGAAGTTGACAACTAGTCGTATCCCCTATAGTACATTCTGAGGCATTTCATGTCTGACAAGCCTAGACATGATATTTCTGAAACGTCATACTTCCTAGAAATACACAAGTAAAACACTAGAATATGAAAAGACATAAAGGGTTGGGCTTGTCATGGGCATGCGGCCATGGGCAACACGCCTTGGACGAACATGACCGTGACATGTCGTGAGATTTTAAATTGTAAAAATAAATAATTATATATATGAAGTTGTGATTTTTGTCCAAAAATTACTAATTCTCGAGATAAAATATTATTTTAATTTATTCATGTGTTCGTATTTTTGTCCTCATTCTATGATTTGAAATTTCGAAGAAGTAAATAATGGTTATAAATGAATATAATCATATCAACATAGAAATTACGAGGAATTAGGACAATATTTTGTTATTTGTAACTTCTTAAAATGACTTAAGCACGTCTCTCTACCGAGCTACGAGAACAAATAATACAAAAGATAAAGGAAAAAAAAGGATCTCCCTATCTAGAAACTCGATGTGGCTCGAGTTCATTTGTTGGCGCTCCATTGAGTTAAACAAAGAAGCTTACGACCTCCACACAACTCATCATTGAACTCTCTCGAACCCGATTTTGATCATAACTCTGCAGATATACTTCCGATCTACTCTGTTATATGTCTTGTTCATGCCTAGTTTCATGGTCACGTTTCTCGTCTTTCCACCGATTTTCATCTTATATCATGATAATACGCTCCCTTTGCACGAATATTAAAAATGCTTAAATTCAACTCAAATAAACTCGTTTTCATCTAAGTTAAGCTCAGTAAACACGTTATGAGAAAAATAAATTAACATGCTTAATCTTGCTGAATTATTATTGATTATGTATGAATATTAATAAGTTAAATTTATAGGACAGTTAATGTGAATTTCAGGTTGATCGGAGGAGATTAAACATTTTTATAAGGGCGTGGATAGATAGGTTTTAAAATCCTCGGGCCGAAACCAAATACAGTTATTGATATTTAAAATTTTTTTTTCTTCAAACCTTTTGTTTTTATGCATCTTACTTCGGGACATCATAAACAGAACTTTCAACTCAACTCATCGATCCCTGCGAACCAAAACGTCGTCCTGAATTGAAACCCGACCTGCGCTTGTGACCCGTGCACTTGTGAACCGACCTGTGATTGTAGCTTCGCCTAGGGCGTGGTAAGTGCGCATGGAGAACCCCTTGCAGGCGTGAGTGGTTCTCTTGTGTTGTTTTGACCTCTGTTTACCTGTTATTCGTCCCGATTTCAATACTAACCCTATTTTTACCTATAATACGTTCCTCCAAGGGGTTTCCCTAAATTTTTGGAGCTATTCCGACTAGCAAACTACACTTAGGCAGGCACGGTAACTAAAATAGAGAAATTTGGAGCTAATAAACAAGCTATAATCCAAATTTTCCGGTGTGACAAAGTAGCCTTTTCGCATAAGCACATAACCAATGAAGTCTCAACTCACTTTATCAAAAGCTTTTTCAATATAATGTCGAGTTTAATGAGATTTATTTGCTTCACTTATCTTAAGCTTTTTTATTTTATATTTAATAAATCATTAATATATTTTAAAAAAATTAATAATTGATTAATGAGTCCCATATAAATTTAAATTTTTATCTCATAAAACTTTAAAATTTTAATATATTATATAAAAAAATCTATAAATATTTATTTTATCAAATATGTCAACAACATATTAAACCCAAAATTTAAAATTTAAAAATTTATTTGTGGCAGCTTGAACGCTTATAAATACAAAATTAAATGTTTTGAAATTAATTTATTATAAATACAAAATTCAAACACTAAATAAATACAATTTTTTTAAGAATAAATTTGTAAATTAAACTTAAATTGATGAAATATTATATATATTATATATATATATATTAAAGTTCATTGATGTGACGTTATTGAGATATTAATGGTTATTAAATTTGATCATTAATTAAAAAATTTGGCGTTATTTATGGTGTGAAATATCTTTTAAAAAATTGATTCCTATGGGAAGAATGCATAACCGCATGAAAAAGCTCACACTAACCCGTCAATTTTGGATCCAATTCGAAATTTTTTTTGGGAGGTATCGGAAAGGAATTGGAATGTAATAATATCGATTCATGCAGATAAGAAGAAAAGATTCTCTATGTATTCAAACACTGTACATGCGGGATAGGAATAGAGAAAGAGGAAAAAAACAAAGATTTCACATAAACTTTATATATATATATATATATATATATATATATATATATATATATGTTTTATCCAAATGAATCTAATCCACTATCTGAATCATAAAAGAAATTCTTAGCCATATGTATCAGCTATTAAATCATCGTTTTAAAAGTTTGATAGCAGAACTTATTAGTTAGCCTAAAATCAGGGGTATGCACGGATTGAGTTTGGTTGAATTAAATTTTGTTTATTTTGTGTCGGTCGGGATGACTACCCGAATGAATCAAATAAGATTCACTACCCAACTCAACCTAACCCTATGTTTTCAAGTTGGGTTGAGGAGTCGGGTTGTTTATTTATTTATATTATTTTAAAAGCTATTTATCATAAAAGAAAAGTATATAATATTTACTGGTCACAACTCATCACTAACATCTGTTACAAGTAAAGGAGGGTTGTTGTGAACTCATTTTACGGGTAGTCGGGTTGACCCAATAAAAAAATGCTCTAACCCACAAACCGAACATAATTTTTAATTTAAAAAAAAATTTAACTCAGCCCGATATTTACGGTTTGGTTTGAACTTAATAGTCTAGATTGTTCGAATGATTAAGTTAAAGTTTTAGTTGGGGCATTGACTAATGGGTTACAATCAAATTATAATATTAAAAAAATAAAAATAAATAAATAAATAAATCAATGTATTCAATTAGGCAACACTGCCTCCAACAACCCCAACTGTCCTTCACCAAAATTTAAGAAATAATAATAATAATAATAATAATAATAATAATTAAATAATTAAATAATTAAAGAAAAACTTGCAATAATTTCCTTTCCTATAAAACCCAACCGTCCATTTCTTCCCAAAACAAAACCCCATTTCTAAATTCGCTCCCATCTCGCTGGTCGCCGGCCAAACTCCATTGAAAACCGCAATGGCCGCCGCCGCCGCCGCTGCTGCTCATAAGAAAGCCTTTAAGTTTCGGTCGGTTACAACTTGCTCCGGCACGGAGTACGAGTCGATCGCTGCCGATCTCGACGGAACGCTACTGATTTCGAGTAGTTCTTTCCCGTACTTCATGCTGGTGGCGATTGAAGCCGGTAGCCTTCTTCGTGGACTCATTCTGTTGCTTTCGCTTCCGATTATAATAATCGCTTACTTGTTCGTGTCTGAAGCCATTGGAATTCAGATCCTCATCTTCATCTCCTACGCTGGCCTAAAAGTCCGAGATATCGAACTCGCCTCCCGCGCTGTCTTGCCTAGGTAAGATCGAGATCGAAACTTAACTCTGTTTTCATTTGTTGAACACTTATTTATGTATTTTTACATTTTAAACTCCAAACTGACGGAACCAAAGTTTAGTAGTTAAGTGGCTACTCTTGTTTGAAGTTGAGGTTTGTCCGAATATTAAAAATGTTAGAAAACTAGAGATCATAGAACAAATGCTTGTCTGTTTCGCTTAGTAATGAAAAACTGGAACGTTACTGAAAATATGCGTTAGACTTCTTGGAAAGAGTGTATTTCATAGACTAATTGAGTGGAAAATTTGTGGAGGTTTTACGCGTCGGACGTGAGAGCGGAGAGTTTTGAAGTGTTCAACAAATGTAAGAGAAAAGTTGTGGTGACGGCGAATCCGACGATTATGGTGGAGCCATTTGTTAAGGATTTTCTCGGCGGAGACAAAGTTTTAGGCACAGAAATTGAGGTCAACCCTAAGACCAAGAAGGCCACCGGATTCGTCAAGAAACCTGGAGTTCTGGTCGGAAAATTGAAGAGATTGGCTATTTTGAAGGAGTTCGGTGAAACTTCGCCGGATCTTGGCATTGGCGATCGCGATTCCGATCACGATTTCATGTCCATTTGCAAGGTACACTCATCATTACCCTCCATTTAATTTTGTGGGCCTAACCATATTAGGGTTTGTTAGCCCCTATGCACGTAGGTAATAGGTTTGTTTATTATTGGAATAAGTAATTAACTTGTTCTACATAACCATGTATGTATGCAAACTTTAAAGTCTTATATTTGTTATTAGTAAAATGAATTTATCACTTTAAAAATATGGATAACAAATAGAATGTTTCTTAAAAACAACAATATAAGGAGTTTTTATTAAAATCTATTTTTTGTTCTGTACACTATGTAGATAGTAAACCTACAAAATATATATATATATATATATATATATAATTTTTATGAATTGTTGCCTTGAGAACATCAATTTAAGGTTAAATTAATAAAATTTTATTTCAAAAAATTTAAATATACACTTATCCTTAATTTTGAATTAATAATTGATTTTCGATCCTAGATTTTAGTGTTATAAAAATCAAACAAAAACCAAAATAATGCACAGAAAAACCCCATAAGAACATCAGCTAAAAGTTAACCAAATTGATTTTTTTTTTTTTTGGTCCAACTTTGTTAAGATTGAACAAATTATGATACTTGGAAACTTCATTATATATATAGTATTAGCCCACTTAAACATAGCTTTAGGTTTAAATCCTTGCTTCATATATATGTAATATTTTTTTAAAAAAGAAAATACGAATACAATTCACCTTCATAAATGCTCATGGACTTGTAGGCGTCGCATTGAATCTTAACGGACCCACCAGTGTAAAGTCTGCCCATCCCGTAATCTCATATCCACCTCCCTGCCCACAACTTCATAACAAAATTGAGTGGTCCACATTAAAGGCTCCAATTCAAAAAACTTAAAATTCTTAAATACTTAAATTAATGTAGCCTTTCTATAAAAAGATGAATTAGATGAATGAACACATGGCTCAAGTCTTTATTATATTTTTTTAATATATATTTCATATATTATTTCCGCTCAATTTTGTATAAGAAGCTATAAGCTTTACACCAAATATTCCTCTTTTTTTAGCATTGGTACAAAATTTTCAAGAATGATAAAATTGTTCTATTTGATGTTTTATAATTTTTTTCAAGGTGGGGAATTCATATTTAGACGTGTATAAGATTTACGTCAAATTTGTTCTTGAGTTTTAGGTAGTTCTTTTCAATGTATAAACTTTGATGTGCAACTCCATGAACATGGTTAAATTGATCAAAACTATGTTACGAATTTTTATTGAAGATTATAGGTCCGATTTAGATGTCCTACCTTGATTAAAACTTTGTTGTATGTTGGATATTTGCAGGAGGGGTATATGGTGCCCCGTAGCAAATCAGCTAAGCCAGTTCCATTAGATCAACTGAAAAGCAAGATCATCTTCCATGACGGGCGCCTCGTCCAGCGCCCCACCCCCCTGAATTCTCTCATCACCTTCATATGGATCCCCTTCGGCTTTATCCTCTCCCTGATCCGTGTCTACTTCAATCTCCCCCTCCCAGAGCGAATCGTCCGCTTCACCTACGAGCTCCTTGGCATCCGTCTCCGCATCCGTGGCAACCCTCCTCCTCCCCCATCCCCCGGAACCCCAGGCAACCTCTACGTCTGCAACCACCGCACTGCCCTTGACCCCATTGTCATTGCCATTGCCCTTCGCCGCAAGGTCTCCTGCGTCACCTACAGCGTCTCCCGCCTCTCCCGTATGCTCTCCCCCATCCCTGCCATTGCCCTCACCCGCGACCGTGCTGCTGATGCTGCCCGCATTACCGAGCTTCTCCAACATGGCGACCTCGTCGTCTGCCCTGAGGGCACGACATGTCGCGAGCCGTTTCTCCTGCGCTTCAGCGCCCTGTTTGCAGAGATGAGTGATAGAATTGTCCCAGTCGCAGTGGACTGCAAGCAGAATATGTTCTATGGGACGACGGTGAGGGGAGTGAAGTTCTGGGACCCGTATTTCTTCTTCATGAACCCGAGACCGGTGTACGAGGTGACGTTCCTTGACCGGTTGCCGGTGGAGATGACGTGCAAGGGCGGAGGGAAGACGGCGATCGAGGTGGCGAATAATGTGCAGAGGATGCTAGGCAGCGTGTTAGGGTTCGAATGCACGACGCTAACGAGGAAGGACAAATACATGTTGCTGGGAGGGAATGATGGGAAGGTGGAGTCTATGTACAATGCCAAGAAGTAATTAATATGTGTAACAAATTACAATTTGATTTGGATGTGTGTCAATTAGGTTTTGAAGTGAAATATGGACAATTCAACTAATGCTCGTCGGATTTTGGTTAAGAAAAACACTCATTGTATTGTAGGTGATATGTTTTTGTAGTAAAAGTTGGTCAAGAATTACATAATTATATGATGCTTCTTGGGTGTGTATTTTTCATTAGCTTAGATCAAAGAAATATATACAAGATTGACGTTTATTGTTTAGAATTATGTGTTTATGGTTGTAAAATCAAAGTTGTCATTGTATTACGAATCTTTAAAACATTTCATGAACGATGTTATAAACTTTGCAATCATGTTCGGAACCATCTTTTTATTCTCATCATGACCTTGGTCTCACTTCTATTTCGGGTCAACTGGATATGTGTTACTTCTTTACACACGACCCACGTATGCGCACATGGGCTCTCAAGTGGGATTTTATACATACCCCTTAGACCTAGCCTTCGACTAGTGTACACCCACACTATCGAACACAAAGGAAAAGGAGAATGCAAAATATCATGGTGTACACGTCTATACTCATTATAAGAGCACAATGCATCATCCAACACATTATATAATACATGCATTGAAGTCAAACTGAGACATCAGCAAGACAAAAGCAACGATGTCTACCTGAAGGACAAAGATAGCCTTGATAATGGGCTAGGTAGAACCATGGGCCTTAACCTTGAAAGTTAATGTTAGACATCGTGTTCGTTTCTCAATATTTTACCTAAAATCACAATGTAACGACAAGACACAACTTAAGGCAATATCAACGGTTTCAATCTCTCACCCTAACATTTGAGCTTTTTTTTCTTATATATATATATTTATCTCGGAGGACGGAAGAAAGCTGCAATTTATAAGATTTTCTTAATCCTCCCTTTCCGAAAGAAAAATTTTTGTTTTCTTTCGTCCCGAACTAGAAGATTTGTAAGAGAATCTTAGAATGTCTAGGATTGGGCCACAAGAATTTCTTAGCATCGTTTAACCTCTTTTTCGAACGCATACGCTTTAATTAGTTGAGCTATATTTTAGTTGACTTTGAAAGCGGAACTTAATTATTTGACTTTTAAGGCAAATGTATAATTTATTTTAATGTATCACTATAATGAATATTGTAATAAATAAATCTGAAAAAGCCAAATTAAATTGATCCTAATATGGGTAACGAAGCTAGACAGATAAATATTTAGTTTAATAAATCAAATTTTTGGATTCTAAATTAATTGTTAAAGATTTGTCTGCTAACTAATTAATTATGTAATTATTAAAGTTAAAAAGGAAATTATAATAGAATTAGGAGTTATTATTGTTAATTAAAGTTTTCATTTTTATAAAAAGCTTTTAACTTTTAACTTATATTTAATTCATTTTTACTTTTTATAGGCATCCCTACACTTCTAGACCAAGGATCGATCCATTTGGATTGCATGTAAAAAAAGTAAAAATGTATTTTTTTTGTCAAACAATTTAATAACTAGAAATTTATATTTAAAACACTATGATCGGTCGACCTCGGTAGTCGGTGGAGTAGTCTTTGACGATGGGCGGTAGTCGCAAGTGGTGACAATAGAGATAACATTGGTGGTCGGTAGTGGTGGGCAATTACAACTCAAGACCACAGCTAGTAGATATTGTCCTCTTTAAGTTTTCCCTCTCGAGCTCCGCCTCAAGGTTTTTTAAACACATCTACTGGGGATAAGTTTCCACACCCTTATAAAGAAAGTTTCGTTCTCCACTCAAATCGACGTGGGATCTCATAATCCACCCCCCTTCGAGACCCAGCGTCTTCGATAACACTCGTTCTCCTCTCCAATACATGTTATTCTTTTCAATTAATGTGGGATTTCATATTGGCTGTGACAGAGGGTGGTATGTCAAAATAGCTATTGGTGGTAGATGGCTACCGACAGTGGAGGTGGACGCTAGCAGCAGCCACAGTGAAAGTGAAGGTTAAGAGATTTGAGAGGGATACTGTAAAGATAATTTACAATGTTATCGTCCTCTACCCATCGAAGACGCTTTTAAGAAAATGAGTACATGATTTAGTGAAATAGATATCCATAAATGAAATCATTATCGAGTTCAAATTTGTCCAATAAATAAAGACATTAAAATTAAATTATAAATAAATTAATTTCTTGACATTACACCCATCCAAAAGTGAATAAAATTATGAGGGTAGAAAATAAAAAATAAAAAGACAAATAAATTAATTAAGGTGACAAAATCATCCTTGGTATAGAAAATAAAATTTGGGAAATACGATTATTACAGAAAAGAAAAAAAAACATTAATTAAATGGCTATAAAAAATAAAAATAAAAAAAGAAAAAAAGAAAAAAGATTGATGAATATTACCATCATAACCTTATATGACTTGACTTTCATCACAGCCGTAGTAATTTTATCCTTCCCCTCCAATCCCGTGTAATGAAAGACACTTTAAATACCTGAATGGCGCGTGTTCCTCAATTGCCATTGCATGGGCCCCACATCTTTTTATAAATAATATATAATAATTTTTTTAATTAACCTCTTAAATTTACCGAACAACCAAACACGCCCTTAGCGTTGTACGTCGTTAAAACCGTTACACCCGCCGTTACAGTTCACAACGGCGACTAACGGAGTATCATTCCCTTGTGAATTTCCGTTTTTGCCCCTTATGCTTTCCACTATTCCTTCCAACTCCCTCCGGTGAACGTTCACCTTCAGCCCGTACTTCATAAACAGCGTCAACGACATTTTCTGCTCCACCTTATGCCCTGCCGCCACCGTCAGCCGGTGTCGGAGAAGTACCGCCGCCGCTATCGACTTCATCTGTAAATACGCCAAATCCTTCCCCAAGCAGATCCTTGGCCCTGCATTGAACGCTACGAATTTGTACGGATCGTATGGTATGAATTTCTTCCCGTCCGCCGTCAGCCACCGCTCCGGCCGGAATTCGAGGCAGTCTTCTCCCCACGTCGACTTCATTCTTCCGGTGGAATAAATTGAATAAGTCACCGACGATCCCGCCGGAACGAAGGTTCCGTCGGGAAGAATGTCGTCGGCGACGACGTGCTTTGAATCCTCCGGCACCGACGGGTACAGTCTAAGGGTTTCGGTGAGAGCGGCTTTGAGATAAATCAGACGGTCGATCTCTTCAAATCCTAACGGCTCATCCAGCCATGATTGAATGTTATTGCCACGTGTCTCAATCAGAACGGTGCAGATCTCGCGGAGGATTTTTTCTTCAATTTGTGGGTTTAATGTAACCAACCAGAAGAACCAGCTCAGAGCAACGGATGACGTGTCCCGTCCAGCTAGGATGAAATTAAGCGCCACATGGCGAAGAAACGCGTTGGAGTAATTACTTTCCTTCTTCTTCATGAAACGTGACAATAAATCATCATGTGGGGTCGAGTCTTTAAGCTGATTCAGCAACTCGAGCTTACGTGAATCAATAACACTGGATAAATACTCCTCGATATGAACGAGACTCCGGCTCAAGCTGACTTCCATACCAAGCCGAAGCCACTTTTTAAATTTCCAAAGAACCTCCGGCAAAATAAACCGTTGCAACGAAGCTTCAGTGGCTCGATCAAAAGCCATAGCAAAGCCATTTTCAGGGAAACCCGGCGCGCAAGTCATAGGATCTTTCCCAAAAGCCAAGCCGCAAATATTATCAAAAGTAAGCCGCAACAACACATCCTGAAGATCAATCGGCTGAGAATTAAGCTCGGCTTGTTTAAGAATAGGACAAAACCTCAACTTAATAGCTCGGCTAACCCATCGAGCCATGGCTTGACGAAGGGTCCTAGTAGTAAATTCCAAGGCAGCAGTTTTTCTCTGGAAGAGCCACGTGTCACCATCAGAATTAAAAATACCTTGGCCAAGTAACTCGTGAAATACAGCTTGCCAAGTGGGGCCCTTAGGGTAATTATCGAATCGGGTCTTGAGTATATGCTCCAGATTTCTCGGGTCGCACGTGACAGTCACGAGGCCCTGTTTTGTTGCGAAGAAAGGGAAGGCCCAAATGCATGTTTGATAAGTGCCGCCGCAAGCACGGAGGTTGTCGGAGATCCAGTCGTGTAAACGGTCGCAATTCTCTATCAACCCCGGCAAGCTGCCGAGCAACGGCCACATTTGAGGCCCTTTCAACGACCGGGAAATGAACGTAAACCACAGAAGATACGCCGTCACCGCCATTACAATAACCAAACCCAAACCCACGTCCATTTTTTTTTTCTGTTTGTTTCCCGAGAAAATGTGGGTTTCCGGGAAAGTAAAATTTTCCGGGGAAAAAAAGAAGGAAAAGTAGAGAGAGAGAGAGAGAGAAAACTCATGAAAGGGGTTTAAGAAGAAGTAGGTTTTATAGTTGAATCGGCATTGAAAGGCAATTACTGAGCCAGACTGGTTTTTTTAATTTTAATTTTTGAATTTTGTTTGAAATATTTTAGAAATTATGTGTATGAGTTTCTCTCTCTAGAAGGGTATGAGAGAGAAAGAGAGTAAAACGCACCTAATTCTGCAGAAAGGAGGAGAGTATTAAATTGGGGCTTTAAATGAAGAGGCCAATTTAATGGGTTTAGTTGAGGAACTGAGGCCAACTACACAACACTCCCAAGACAAAATTTTTATTTTTATTTTAATTTCTTTTTATTTTATAAAAAGATTCCGTGATCCGAAGAACCTTATATAAACACGGTTGATCCATCCATTCATACCGTTTGAGTGACGAGTATTCAAAACACTGTGATTTGAAAAATCTTATAAGAACTGTTCATCGACTCATACCCTTTGAATGAAAAATGTAGAAAAATACAGAGTTTTTTAAAACATTTTGTCTTCATACTCTTTCAGCTCAGTTATTAAATTATTTAATAAATGAAAATTTTATCAATTTGTACCGGTGATCGTTCGTGATCACCGAATCAAACTTTATTGAACAAGAAATGCGTACCATATAATTATATATTTGTATATCTATTTATGATTTTATTTAATATTATAATTATTTTTCGATTATTTATTCCCTAACCACGCTTAAAAATAAATTTAAAGACTTTTTAGAAAAAAAAAATATATATATATATATATATATATATATATTTTACATATTTAAATAATTTAAATAAATGACCCGAACAATTTATGATTAGGTTGAGTTGAGTTTATTATTTAACTAGGGTTACCTACGTTGAAAAAAGTTACAACACGAGCAATTGATCTGAGTCTAAATTTTCAACCCGTGAACACCTATATGTCACCCCGTTAAAATTTACATGTCGATTCAAGTATAACGTAGTGAATAACAATCGTTCATTTTTTTTTTTTTTGTCGTTAAACTAAAAAAATCTCTACCTTATATGTTATCGTGTAAGTCGGTTTTTATTTGCATGCGGGAGAGGTTAGGTTATTAATAAGTAATATATAAATGTAATTGGTATTTTAGAAAACAAATAAATATTTATTTTTGGTAGTTTGAAATAATTTTATTTATAGAATTATAAAAAGAGAAAATAAATAAATAAATAAATGGAAATGAAGATTATGACGTGGGGTATAGGTAATGGTTGGTTGAGCCATAACCCACCAAACCATATTCAACCATTTATAGCTTTACTTTTCCTTGTGAAACTCTTTATTTTTTATTTATTTATTTTCTTATTCTTATTATTATTATTATTATTATTATATATTTAGTTAGCATATAGTTATGGTTAATCAATTTCATAGGTTAATTAGTAGTTGTTATATTATAGCTACATCATTACGTAGGTCAAATCTTTATTATAAATTAATATTATCTTGGTCATTAAAATAAAGTTTCCTGATTATTATAATAAAAAAATGAAAATGAGTCGGCTCGTATTTTCTTCGTTATTTCTCCTAACTAAACTCTATCGGTGAATGTTATAACATTTTTTTAGATGGAATATAATTATTCAACACAAATAATTTTTTTTTAAATACTGAACCTAACTAAACCCAACCGTAAAATATTTGGGTTGAATGGGTTCGGGTTGTTTCGTTATTTATTTATTTTTAAACCTAAGTTCTGAAAAAATTATATTTTAAAATTTTAAAATTTATTTTTAAAAGTTTATAGACAGTAAATAATTATAAAATTAAAATATAACAACAAAAATGAGTTAATAATAAATAAATTTAAGTGGGTTGGATTCCATTTAAATTAATTTAAGAATTTATGAGCCAACTCAACGTATAAAAATTTTATTTATTTGAGTTTCGATAAATTAAAAATTCAATTCAAACGGTATAAATTGGATTGATCGAGTTATTAGTCACTGCTTACTGATAGTCGATATTGTCTATTTTAACCTGTTACGTATCGCCATCAGTCTCATAATTTTTTATTATTTTTCTTTTGACGATTTCATTGACTTTTTGATTTGAATATAACATAATTAAATATATCATGTTTTTTAGTGAGGGATAAATAAAACTGTGTGCTACAACTGAAACATGGGACGAAAGTCAAAAGGGAAATAAAAGCATTTAAAAAAAATAGTAAAATTATGTCCGAATTTAGTTATTACCAAAGAAAATTAAATAAATAAATAAAAGGAAAAAACGCGTTTGAATAAATATTTTTCTTTGTTTCGAGGCGGACTGTAAATTTTTAATAAATTTAATTTCTCCTTTTTGCCCTTCCACCTTCCACGTGTCTCCCTGCATTCAATTTCAAAGTCAACCCTAATATGGTAATATCTCATCACTTTTCAATGCTACCTCCAAACTAAAATACTAATTTAATTTAAAATCGTTCATATGACCTGATAGTTCGAATCACATGAATTACTCAATCTAATCTCGGGGTTATATATATGTATTTTCAATTTTGGTTGGGTTGAATTTTTAAAAAATTAAAAACTTGGGTAGGTTCGGGAGTTGACTTAGGTCAATTTGACTAACCTGAAATAAGGTTATAATTCAACTCAATCCAACTTTATACTAATTTTAAGATTATAGATTATTGTAAAAATTAAGAATATTTAATATTTGTTATCGATGTTAGTGATGCATGGTAACATATAAATGTTTTATATTTGAGCTATATGATAATTTAATTATTAATGTAACATCTATTCTAAATAAATATAATTTTTTAAAAAAGAACAACCCGACAACCCAACCCAACAGAGAGTTGGGTTAGGTTGAGTTGTGAACTCTATTCGAGTTGGTCCAAAAGATTCCTCCAACCCGACACGCCACGAATTTAACATAAATACAGATAATACAAAATAAATACGTTCTAAATGCGCACACATAATAATAAAAAACAATAATAAACCGCTTTTTAACATACATATTCAATTAATATACTAGTTGGTCTATTATATTATCGTATTTAGATCATTAATTGATGGGTACATCTAAATATCTATCGGGCGACGTCATTATTAATTTTAATTTGAAAATTTAATAAGGTCAATTATTTCTTGGAGACCAATTTTCAATTAATTAAGCTCTAATTGAATAGAAATTAGATTGGATTGGATATAACAACCCAAACAAAAATTGACTAAAAGTTAGGGTAGATAAGTTGCAACCTCCAAATTTAATTAATTAATTAATTAATTAATTGAAAATTATATCATTATTATTCATTAATAAATATTGGGATTTTTTTTGTATATTAAAAAAAATTAAATAATTAATTAAAGTCAAACTTGGAAATTACAATTTTAGACATTGGTCTTTCTTGCACACAAGATCATTTAAAAGTTAGGTAAAATTAACCCTATATTACAAATCCTATAATTCAAATGCTTCTAATTTTGATTATTTTCATTTATATATGTACCAAATTTATAAATATTACATCATTTATTTTTTCTTTTATTCTTCTACGCAAAAAAAATCTATTCATCGAAATTACTTTTTTACCCTTTTATGAAAAGTACTAAACATTAATACATTGTTTCATTAATCTAACTTAACTTCCAACCATCTTTTAGTTAAATATGTTTGTTTCCCAAAAGTGAAAACATAATATTTTACCCTAATCTTAAAATTTATTCCTCAATCCTGCAACTACCCTAACGACAGCAGAGTAGAGACGAAGACAAAATATAATTTTAGACCCGAACCCCATTTAGCTAATGGACAAAAAACTTTCTCCACTTCTTCTATCATTCTCTGTTCAAACGAAAGTTTGTCGTCTAGTTCGAGGTGGGTCCCACAGGGCTCCAACGTCGTAAATTGAAAGGATTTCAAATCTAAGAATCGTGACAAATAATAGGAAACTTTTATGGAATAATTAACTAAACAAGAGAGACTTTTAAGACCACCTTGGTTAAAACTAGAATGCTACCTATAAGACACAACTACCATTACCCAATGTTCAAGCCAAAGGCATCTAAGCTATAAGACACAACATACCCTAAATATACATTTTAATAGTTCATTCATACAAGTCGTATCAAAACAACATCACGTGATACATGTGTAATAGTGGCTATGCTTATTCGATCAAACAATCAAGTCGAATAGACAATTTTGACATCTCTAATGATTCATTAAAGCTATTTGAGTTCAACAACTTCCAAATTTCATTCAATGAAACAAAGAACTTCAAAAGATTAAGAAATCTAATTAAAACTACAAACTAACCAAACCATAAAGCTGAATGTATTCTAATAATTATGAACACAGCTCTAACAACATTGAATTACCCAAGAAAAAGTATAAAACCCTGGAACAAAATAATGAAAAGAAACCATAATTTGTTTCCCATACACTATAACTACAGGCTAGCAGAGGAGAGAAAGATGAACACTTGGGTATCAACATCAATGGCATTAATAGCATTTGACAAAGCTGAGTAGTAGCAAAATAAAGCAGTTCATAGAAGAAGAGTTGAATGCAAGATGGGCAAAGAAAGCAATGGGCATTAAATGAAACAGCATTATCTTTTGTCAAAAAGGAAAGGTAGAAGAAAGTTACCGATAGATTTCTGGTGGAAAGTAGGGTCTAAGTTGTGGAAGATGGCCCAAAAAGGGGGCAGCATTCTTGAGCAACTCACAATTAAAAGTACATATCTACTTCCTTGAAAAGGTAGGTGCAACTTTCATCCTCTTTTAATATATTCTCAACCACTGCCGACGGTTTTGAGAGGCAGAGGAATAGAATAGGGTGACCTAAGACACTGCTAAAATAATCCACTGTTTTCCTTTTCTTATCTCTCTGCTGTTCTTCAACCCATACTGCAGTAGCTGGTAACTAACCATCTTCAGGTTTTCCTGCCATGGAAAGTTGTTTCAATATATGTCATTTCATGATCTAAAGCCTCTGAAGAAGAACATTAATTCATGCCACCTGCTGTTTTTTTCGAAGCTCCACACACCCATGTGAAGCATTCATTTACGTTTTTGTATTTTTTCTCTTTCGTGGATTAGATCTGGTCCTTTTCTTCTCTAAAGCTCGTCATTGAGCTACTGGTGTGCTACGTTAGGAACCATGACTCTTCATAATGGTATGATATAAGCTCTCGTGGCTTTACTTTTGGTTTTCTGAAAATGTCTCTTACTAATGGAGATGTATTCCTTACTTATAAACCCAGGATTATCTCCTTAATTAGCCAACGTGGGACTTCCTCCCAACAATCAAGGAATACATCTCATTGGTATGAGGCCTTTTTGGGAAACCAAAAGCAAACCCATGAGAGCTTATGCTCATACAATTGTGGAGAGTTGTTATTTCCAACATGGTATAAAAGTCATGCCCTTAATTTAGCCATGTCAATAGAATCCTCAAGTGTCGAACAAGGAAATTGCTTGCCTCGAAAGTGTAGTCAAAAGTGACTCATGTGTTGAACAAAGGGTGTACTTTGTTCAAGGGCTTTAGAGAAAGGAGTCGAGCCTTGATTAAGGAGAGGTTGTTCGAGGGCTACATAGACCTCAGGAAAGGCTCTATGGTGTACTTTGTTCGAGAGGAGGATTGTTGGCTAATTTAGAGAATGATCATGGGTTTATAAGTAAGGAATACATCTCATTGGTATGAGGCATAAGTGGACAATATCATATCATTGTGGAAAGTCGTTATTCCTAACACAATCCTCAACATGCTATTGAGTTTAGCTGATAACTCGGAAGTGAAAGAAGAAATAGTAGCCGGGTACGGAGAAGCAGAAGACTTATGGATGATGAAGAAGAGCATGATATTGGAAGAGATTTCAGTATCACATTAAAGTTGCATCAATAATGAACAATGGGAAGATTCCATTCATCAATAATAGATTAGAGAAGACGTAAGCAACACAACTAACCATAGTGTGCTTAGGTGCAAATTAAATTACTCAGCATGAATAGCACAACTGTGAAAATTGTCAAGCAAGCTAAATTTAGAGACTGCATCCAAGGATGAAAGGTCCTACTTTGCTCACTCTCTAAATTTAGAGTCACTATTTTTCACTTTGCGACAACAATACTGAAACCCAAATCTGGGCACATAGTGTCATCATTTTGACAGTGTCAACTAGATGTTTGGAAGCCTGGCTGATACAATCTCAGTTGTCATGGATTCACAACCCTCTAAGATCCTAGTCATACTCATACTGAATCCATCAATGTGAATCTAAGTTTTTGCTCGCTCTCAATGGGACGCATTAATTGTATAACAGTCCAGCTGCTTGTGTAGGGCCTTCTATGTCTCACTATTGCCATCGTCACTAGTTTGTCACACCAACCATTCACCGTCACCACTCGTTCTAGAGTCGTAACTTGCCATCGCTCTTCCAACTCCCTAGCACATCACCATTGTCTATCATCCAACTTTGCGATGGTTCTCCAAGTCACTGAAATATTCCTGTGAGTCTCATTTTGTTCTTGGCTGAGTTTCTCTTTGTGAGATCTCACGTTGGTTAGAGAACGAAACATTTCTTACAAGGGTGTGAAAATCTCTCCCTAGCAGACGCGTTTTAAAACCTTGAGGGGAAGCCTAGAAGAGAAAGTCCAAAGAGGACAATATCTGCTAGCGGTGGGCTTAGACTATTACAGATGGTATCAGAACCAGACACCAGGCGGTGTGCTAGCGAGAACGTTGGGCCCCCAAGGGGGGTGGATTGTGAGACCCCACATCAATTGGAGAAAGGAACAAAGCATTTCTTATAAAGGTAAGGAAACATCTCCCTAGCAGACGCGTTTTAAAACCTTGAAGGGAAGCCCAGAAGAGAAAGTCCAAAGAGGACAATATTGCTAGAGGTGGGCTTGGGTTGTTACACTCTCTCACTATCCCGTGATTTGCTAGTGGCTCTCTCGATCTCACCGGATCAATTCATGGTTCAATAAAAAACCCGAGCCTATAACGATCCTTCACACTCGGTTTTCAGCTTCTCTTTCACCATCATGAAACATAATGCTACATCACTCAACACCACCTCCAATCTCTACCAGTAATCTTACTCATTAAACTACCGTCTTCCCTTGTTCTTCTATGCAACATAACAAACAAAAACTGGGACCGTGGATTCCTAAGTGTTAGACTATTTGAGTGGAGATATTAACATTTTTCATCGGTTCAAATCGTAGCCTGGTCACTCATCACTCAGAGTAGCATTTGATCGGTCGTTACAAAAATGGGGTCAATAAAATTGATAAAATGCTACATCACTCATTGGATTGTTGTAAAAAGTCATCCAACAAACCGATAGACCTCTGTTTGTTGGGTCGGAGAATGAACTCATTAGAGATATACAATTGGCTACTGCTCCAATATTTGGGATAACCTGCTTACTTGGAGAAACAAAAAGGAATCAATGTACAAGGACCAATGCTGAAGTTGAATATCAAACACTTGCTTTGGGGGTTTGTTTTTTAATATCAATGAGTGCTCGACTCAGCTTGCGTGCACATCTCATCAGACAACTATCTATCTCTACTACATTTGGTTGCCAAAGAAATTATAATAGTTCGAACATTCTCTATAAGCCCTTTATTCTTTATGTTGATACATGGTAGTTCATTTGTGTTGGGAATTTGTGAAGGGATGCAGATATAGAAGCTTTTGAAGAAATTCATGATTGAGATTCAAAGTTCAATCAAAATTGTTTTGTGATAGGCAATTAACAATCAGCACAGAAAAATCTCGAGCATCACGACAGAACAAAGCAGATAAGTCATCAGTTCATTTACGAGAAGGTCGACAAGCATGTTAAGAAATGACGTATATAATAATGCTATGCACCCATACCTCTTGGCACCTGAGAATCTGGATTCTTTCTGACATGTTAAGAAATACATTTCCTTATCACAACTTATCTTCTGTACATGTATTTGGAGAGGGGAAACTTAATACTCCTTGCCACCTGATGATTAGGTCGCACCGAAATCAGATATACAACTAATACTCAAAACCAAAGAAGGCGTTATCGGAGAATATTACCTTCGAAGCCATATCTTCAGACACTGTAGAGCGATATCGTGTAGAACCTTCTAGTGGGCAACTTCCTCCTTTGACCACAAAGTTTGCATTGCAGAGGCTGGAAAGTTGCAGGAGAACATCAGACATGAGTTCGCTATCCTCATTTCGACTATCCATTACAACATCTTGCACATCTTCGAGCGAGGTTTCTGCAACAGACGTAATGCACTGAAATATTGCAAGCAATCTCTCCAATGGAAAAGTTCCAGGTCCTTTCATTAGCAGCTCCTGTTCTGAAATTTCCTTCTGCTCAATTGCCTTTTCAGATGGCCTAAAACATTGTTAACAAATTACCTAAGCTATTAAACTGAATAATGGCTCTTTTATATGAACTAGAAGTATTAAACAAAAAAGATTGGCATAATTGGTGTGTTCATTAAAACTTTATTGATGTACTAAGACGGTCAATTTAGCTTTACCAATTTCCATGTGTACAAAGAATCAAGAACTGAACATTGTCTTTCATTACTAATTTTTTTGACGTCTTTTATTATTCATTAATGTTAGGATCGCACAACAACGCACACACTCGATCAAGATGAACATAAAGAACAGGTGAGAGAAAATTCAAGGAGGAATATTGGTTAAACGTTTTATTGATGACTTCAGGTATGACACCAAGAGAGAATAAAGAGAATGAAGAAAATCCATTTTGGAAGCACTGCCTAATGGGGTATATATAGGGTTTCAATTTACTAAATATAGCTTTAACAAATTTGGTCGTCTATGAAATATAATCTACCAAATCTCTACGAAATATCTACCATATATATCTATCAGATCTTTACAAAATATCTGCCATATATATTTCTACCATATCTTTTATTGGTTCCATATCCCTGTTGAGGATTGTTGGGGGGGAGTCCTACATTGGCTAATTTAGGGAATGATCATGAGTTTATTAGTAAGGGATACGTAGGCCTTTTGGGGAAGCCCAAAGCAAAGCCATGTGAGCTTATGCTCAAAGTGGACAATATCATCCCATTGTGGAGAGTCGTGATTACTAACATGGTATCAGAGCCATGCCCTTAACTTAGCCATGTCAATAAAATTTTCAAATGTCGAACAAAGAAGTTGTGAGCCTCGAAAGTGTAGTCAAAAGTGACTCAAGTGTCGAACAAATAGTGTACTTTGTTCGAGGACTCCAGAGGAGGAGTCGAGCCTTTAAGGGGAGGCTGTTCGAGGACTCCATAGGCCTCGGGAGAAGCTCTATAGTGTACTTTGTTTGAGAGAAGGATTGTTGAGGATTGTTGGGGGAGTCCTACATTGGCTAATTTAGGGAATGATCATGGATTTATTAGTAAGGGATACATCTCTACTGGGATGAGGCCTTTTGGGGAAGCCTAAAGTAAAGCCATGAGAGCTTATGCTCAAAGTGGACAATATCATCCCATTGTGGAGAGTCGTGATTACTAACAATCCCAACAATTAATATCTCTAGCTTAAATAATAGATTGTCCCTAATGTTATCATATCATGCTACATCGTCCTAGATCCTTGAAAGAGTACCAATAAATAAAAAGATATCCTGTATAATTTAAGTTTTTTTTTTTTTTTTTACTTGCACGTTGCATAAGGAAACTCGTGTGAATAAAAAGGTTGAAATATTACCTCTTCTTCCTTTTTCGACTACTAGCGCCCCCAGTAGAATCAAACAGTGATGCATCAAGTGTAGCTGGATTTCTTGAAGCAAGAAAAGCTGAAAGAAGAAGATATTTTGCAGAAGTAGACATGTGAAAGTCCAAGTCCTCAGAAGAGTCAAACCCACCAAGTTTCTTACTGCCACCTTTTCTCTTTGGTTCCTTTAAATTATTAAGTTCAGAAGGCTGAGATGAAATTTTAAATATCTGATTCAAAGCAGGGGCAATATGTGGCTGAAAATGACTGAAACGTGCCCTCTTGCTGGACTCATTGGGAACATTGTTCAGATCACCCGAAGCTTCACGGTACGTTTTATACAATGATGAAAAGGCTATGGATAACTCATTCACTTGCCTAGTAATTCTACAGAATGGCCCCAATACAATACTGTTTCATGGGATACAGAAGCATGTTTAATGAGAAACTCAAGCAATTCAAGCAATTCAAGCATGGCCATACAGTAAGAGAGAATGGAATCCTTACCTCAGAAAGGATGAATACATCTCTTGATTAGTTTGATTCCTCGAAAGAATTTGACGAAGATCGTCTTCTGTGTACTCAGAGAAATAAACAGGGATGGGCTCCAAGTAACCCACATTTGAATAGTATGTGTCAGGTGAAGTATTACTGATGAAGAGAAATCCAACCTCATTCATGTTTAAAACTTCATGGAGATTAAATAGAAAAGGCAGTATGCTTGAACTCTTGTCCCAGTTTCTAACGAGTTCCAAGTTGTCGAAAATCAGGTAGATCATATGTCCATGCCCTTGTCCTGTCAACTTCTTGGTGCTTAGCTTTCCTGGGTTTCCCTGAAGAGTATTTACGACTTTAACCAAGGCTTCACGAAGAAAGTTAACGAAATCTGATGGCTTTTCACAGCGCTTTGCACTCAAATATCCACTGCCTGCATCTTTTTGATGAAGTAATAACTGATTCAAGATAGACTCAAATAGAGTTCGTAAATTATAACAAGTGCGACAGCTAGAATAGACAAAAGGACGGTTGAGATGACGGAATGTCTGTAGAATGACACTGGTTTTTCCCGATGACGTGCCACCATAAACAAAGAGGGGAAGCATGGGAGAATTCAGGGGACCTAAAAGGTTAAGGAGTTCAAGAATTTGAGTATGACGTCCAGGAAAACTAGATAGGAGATCTTCCTTACTAATGGTATCTTCTCCAAAAACAAGATCATTAAGAGTTGGAATATGTGGATGATATGTCTTCTTAGTTTCACCAGAATCCCTTAGAACAGCCGCTGCCGAGGACCGGGTTGTCCTTCTGTTAGATTTCGAGCTTTCTTCTTTAGACATTCTTCGAAGATCCTACAACAGCTGCAGAAATCTGAAAATTCAAGAAGAAAATTTGAGTACAATCTTCATCAAATACATTAGTATGTCCTTGGTGTTTTACAATCATTTCCCCAACAGATTTATAACGCCAACCACTTAAAATGTCACAATATTAAACTAAACACTTCCAATAAAAAGAGCGAGAATTTATTCGATATTTCATTCCTCTCATCGTGGGTTGATATGTTCCGTTAGGGCTAGTTATGTGGCATAGTGCAACTAATACTCCATAGTCCATTACATTGAGGCCTACAGCTACCCAACTTTATATAGGTACAAAGTCTGCAGATATAAGGTCAATGAGGAAATCAATTTTCAAGGTATCAGAGCACTTTATAGCTCAATCTCCTAGGGGGGCCTCGAGCGTAATGGCATCTCTAGTTTCTTCATCCACAACCACTAAAAGTAATACAATTTCCTCTCTGACACAAATGAATAGCAAGCCAAATTATCTAATAAAACTATATGATACCACAAATTGTAAAAATATATTACCTTTTTCAAGAAAAATTCGTAGTTTCTATCCAACCGAAAGGTCCATAAAAAAGCTCTTATGACATTAAGCTACAACTTGTTAACCTGAACCTCAAAAGCATGCCAAGAAGAAGACTTTTGGGGCTGTTGAGCAAAGCAATGGACCAACTAAAGCAAGCAAATAAGTTCTGTCAAAAGAAAGAAGCCACAGGGCAAGTGAATAACAAGTGGTCTTGAGTTTCACTTTTGTCTCCCCTTCTTGGGGTAAGAATTCTTCCAAAGCCATTAGCAAAGATCTTGGTCACATGCATGAAGTTCACTACAGAGATCTTTAAGGTCCCAAAAAGAGTCGTTAACCCAGTCAAGAGTCACCTGTAACAGCCCAAGCCCACCACTAACTGATATTGTCCTCTTTGGGCTTTTCCTTCCAAGCTTCTCCTCAAGGTTGTAAAAAGCATAAGCTAGGGAGAAGTTTCCATACCCTTATAAGAAATGTTTTGTTCCCCTCTCCTACCGATGTGGGATCTCACAATCCACCCCCCTTGGGGTCCCAATGTTCTCGCTGGCACACCGCACGATGACTTGCTCTGATACCATTTGTAACAGTCCAAGCCCACCACTAGCACATATTGTCCTCTTTGGACTTTCCCTTCTATGATTCCCCTCAAGGTTTTAAAACGCGTCTGTTAGGGAAAGGTGTCCCTACCCTTATAAGGAATGCTTCTTTCCCCTCTTCAACCGATTTGGGATCTCACACCATCTATCTCGTACATTTTGAGGCTATATAAAGTCATGTATGTTATATTTGTAAAGCAGACTCGAAAAATGTAGTAAAAAGAGCATTTGTGTTTTCCTTTAGCCAAGGGCTAAGTTTCTTTACAATTCTATGTAGTTTAAATTGCATGTTTAGATTCATTCAAGTTTAACACGATCAATCTTGCTTGTGGAGTGATTTGAATCTCAAACAAATGTTATTGTCTTGAGATATTCAATCAACAAGGTAATCCGAGTCTTACTCCCCCTTGGAGTGAAATCAAATTGATTCGAGGGTTTTAGCATTTGTGAACTACGGGTTTGCATGTTGCAGATCATAGAATCTAACCCCAGATTTCATATCATAATTTCACAATTGAAGCCCATTCCCAAACTTTCCTTCTTGAACAATCACAGGAAACAAGAATTAAACGTAAAGAAAGCTAGTACCATGATTTAAATAGTGACATAAACACACTGAATACTAAACCACCATATCAATCACAGTTAAGAAAACAAGGGCAAAATACAGATAACAAAATTCCAATCAAACAAATCGAGGAAATGGAGCAAAAGTAGAGGCTAAGAAGCACGAAGAAGAAAAGGGAGGCGAACACCGACACAGAATTAGAACTTCAATATTACCAGTCCAAGGAGGAGAAAGGAGAATGGAAGGGCGGCTGAGGGAGAAGTCGCTAGGGATTGAGGTCCGTGGACTGAGTGTAATGTAAACCCTATCTCTTTCTCCCGTCTTCTCTCTCCCTGTAACTGCGACTCCGCTTTCTCTATCAACGTCGGCGACACACTCGGCAGCCGTGTCCTGCGGAAAAGTTGCGACGCACGCCGCCGGCCGCCTCCTATCTGAAAAATTGCAACTTTTTGTATGAATAAAATACAGTATTTGGTCCAAAACCGTCTGAAATTTCTTTGTATGTCAAAATTTTTATTAAGGCAAAGGATGCCTTTCTTACACATGGCGGGAAATTTTTCGAGATCATACAAAATAATATATTAAATTTTACGTCTAAAAAAAAATAAAATATGTATCAATTATCGCTAAATTATACTCATGTTCGTAGTTTATTACTAATGTTTTGATCAAGTTATGATTTTCGCTTGATCTACGTTGTTAGATTGTCTTTGTCTCTTTTCCTTTGGTTACGACGAACTCTCTAGCATTTACAGGAGCTCAATGCAGTTACTTGTAAGCAGTGAAGGAATCAATTTCTTTTGATGTCGAAGTCAAAATCTTCTCGAGACTACGATCATGTAGAAAAGTGCTACCATTGAACTCGTTCTATGTCACTCCACAAGTGCTCGTGTTTGTACTTGGACATATTGTACATGGTGATCCATTGCTAGAGCGTTGTGTGTATGGAAAAGTTTTGCAATGAATGGTGGAGAGGAGCCGATGTAAGTGAGGACACGACTAGTTGCTCCCCTTTCGCTTTTATAGATCAAATTTGCAACATCTTCCTCTTATAGAACAACCTTCATCCCGTGCGTTAACATTGCATTCAGTTAGCATCAATCAATTTGGTGATATAAACGCTAGATTGAGCAGATCCACACTGAAAATGAATTTTACGAGAATATACTAAAAGTTGACTTTAAAATACTAGAAACTAGCTATAAACAACCCCAAGAAACTAAACAATTAGGTTTGTTTTATATTATGACTTTAAGTTAGTTTTTTATAGGCCTATTTCACTTTACGTTTCCGAAATGTCATTTTCACATGCTTGGTGTCACGGTCATGCTCATCTAGGGCGTGTTGTCTGTATCTGCATGCCCATGCCACGTTGAACCATTTATGTTATTCCATGTTGTATTGTTTTACTATTGTATTTTCAGTTTGTATGACTCTTCGGTGAAATCATGTCTAAACTTGAATTGCCCCATAGAGGGATATGACTAGTTGTCAACTTTTCCACTAATTTTGTACGACCCTTCTGCAAAATCACATGTATTCTAATTATTTGACCTAATGATATAAAGTTACTCAAATAGTCGTATATCAATATGAGAGGAACCAAATAATCGTATATCAGTATCGTAAATTCTAATTATTTGACCTAATGATATAAATTGACCTATAAAACGAGATACAATTGAACTTGAATAAGTCATTGTTGGACCTGAGCAAGCTATTATTTGACTTGAATTGGCCACTTAATGAGCAACTAAATGACCCACAAAACGAGACACAATTGGACTTCAATAAGCCACGGTTGAACTTGAGCGGTGCATTATTGAATCTAAATGAGCCACTGAACGAGCAGTTGAATGAGCTATAAAACGAGATACATTTAAACTTAGATAAGCTATTGTTTGACATGAACGGTACATTAGTAGACATAAACAAGCTATTAAATGAGTCGGGAAATAAGACACAGTTGGACTCACTAAACTATTAGACTTGAATGGTACATTATCATTTTTTCAATTGAATAAGAAATCTATTATTTCTACGTGTTGGATGATGAAAGTCCCACGTCTGCTAATTTGGGAAATGATCATGCTTTATAATCAAAGAATACTCTCTCTATTGTATGATGCCTTTTGGAGAAATATAAAACAAAACTACGAGAGCTTATGCTCAAAGTGGACAATATCGTACCATTGTTGAGAGTTTTCGTCTAACTATTTAGGGCGTAAGAAATTTGTTATTTATTTATTTATTTTTAATTAATTTTTACCAAAAGGGTTTGTAGTTTAGGATGGCGGGTAAGCGAGGAGAAAAGAAAAAAGAAAATAAATAGAAAATTTTGGAAAATGCTATCTATTATCCGAGCGATTGGCAACTGAGAAGCCGAAAATCACTGACAACAAGGTAGGAAGAAGATGGGGGATCTCTACGCTTTGGACTTCGATGGAGTTCTCTGCGATAGCTGCGGAGAAAGCTCTCTTTCTGCTGTTAAGGTTCGCCTCTCTCTCACTTTTCCCTTTTGGTTCCTCTCAAAATGAATGAAAATTTGACTGAAAATGTGTTGATAGGACTCTCTTATGCCAATCGGCAATTCTTCGTTCAATTCAGTGATGTGAGGTTCTGAGAAATTGATAGATTGGAGGTTTAGATGTATTCGGTTGCCTAATGTGTTTGTTTATTCTGCAATTGTGTTGATAGCACTCTCTTATGCCAATCGGCAATTCTTCGTTCAATTCAATGCTGTGAGGTTCCGAGCTATTGATAGATTGGAGGTTTAGATGTATTTGGTTGCTTAATGTCTTTGTTTTTTCTGCAATTGGCTGGCGTTCGTTTGAATGTAGACTGAGGATCGAAGGGAGAACTTTGAATTGTTTTTTTTTTCTTCATAAGAGTAATTCATGAGTTGATTGGTTGTGCTTTGTGCTTCTGTTTGAATGTTATCAGGCTGCTAAGGTAAGATGGCCTGACTTGTTCAACGATGTGGATTCGAGCTTGGAGAATTGGATTGTGGATCAGATGTACACAGTGAGTCGTTATTGATCTTTAATTGTTTCAATCTGTATGTTTTTTGGGGGTTGTGGATGTTTTCTTAACCCATACGGTTGTGAATCTATCTATCATCGAAGTACATGACAAATTTTGTAGTGGGTTTATAGATATTCTGTAATTTAAACGTTCTATTCAATTTTTTTTCCATTGTTTCAGTGTTTTAAATATAGCTCAGTCAAATTTAAAGATTGAGAAACATAAAACTAGTAAAATATGTTCTTATGAAAAAGACATTCGAGAAAAAGAAGAAAAATGGCGATAACCGAGAGAAAATGAGGGGGCAGGAGTTTAAGCGACCTGTTGTATCTCAAGGACTTGGTGTTAATTAGTTGCAGGCAAAAGATATAAGGTTGTTCTGAAATAGCTTTATGCCTTCTAGATTTTTCAAAAAAGTTCCCTTGTTTTCTTATAGCCTGTATTCAATTCATAGATCAACCATCTTCTATAGTAATAGAAATTGCCTTTTCTTCTAAGAGTTAGGATTTGGAGTCGGTTAGGAATCATGACCCTCCACAATGGTATGATATTGACCACTTTGAGCATAATCTCTCATGGCTTTGTTTTTTGTTTCCCCAAAAGGCCTTAGACCAATGGAGATGTATTTCTTATCTAAACAAATGATCAACCCATTAATTAGCCGATGTGGGACTCCTTTCCCAATAATCCTCCCCTCGAATGAAGTACACCATACAGTCTCCCCTGAGGCCTATTGATCCCTCGAACAGCCTCCCCTTAATCGAGGCTTGACTCCTTCTCCGGAGCTCTCGAACAAAGTACACTCTTTATTCGACACTTGAGTCACTTTTAACTATACCTTCGAGACTCACAACTTCTTTGTTCGACATCTAAGGGTTCTATTGACACGGCTAAGTTAAGGGCATGGATTTGCTACCATGTTAAGAATCACGACCCTCCGTAATGGTGTGATATTTTCTACTTTGAGCATAAGCTTGCATGACTTTGCTTTTGGTTTCCCCAAAGGGTCTCGTACCAATGGAGATGTATCCCTTACTTATAAACTAATGATCAACCCCTTAATTAGCTGATGTAGGAGGTATTCCTTACTTATAAACCAATGATCAACCCCTTAATTAGCTGATGTAGGACTCCTCTCCCTGCAATCCTCGACCATACTTTATATAGTTTGCTTCTTGTGTTTGGCTCTTTTTATTTGGTTGTTCTTTTAGTTTTGAACATCAAATTTTAATAAGGAAAAAAAAAAAAAACAAAAAAACAATTGCGCAATATCTTTAATATTTAAAATCATTCAGCCATAGGTCTTCTAAAAGAAATTAAGACAAAAAATAGAGAACTGCCGTGAAATAACTCCAAGCTTTTGTTCCAATCTATCCCCCACTTTATAACCCTTCATAATTATACAAAGAAACTGGTAATCTTTCTGGGGCATTTTTATAGTATTAAAGAGGGAAAAGCCTCAGAAATTTCATTAGCAGACTGAAGTTTTCAATAAAAATACTGTTAATATAACTAATGCCTGTAATGTGGTAGGTCCGCCCTGTGGTTGAAACTGGATATGAGAATTTGTTGCTGGTGAGGTTGCTGTTGGAGATGAGATTGCCTTCAATTAGGAAATCTTCGGTGGGTATTTGCCCACAGTTTTGCTTCAGTTTATAATATCAGTTCTATTGACATGCTTAGGAAATTTTGCGGACATTACATTTTATTTTTTCAATTAGAAAGGTTGCAGAAGGGCTCCTAGTTCAAGGAATATTGGAGAATTGGTCAAACCTCAAACCAGTCATCATGGAAGAATGGGGAGAGAATAGAGATGCTCTCATAGACCTTTTTGGAAAGGTTAGAGATCAATGGATGGATGAGGACTTAACAACTTGGATCGGTGCAAATAGGTACTTTGGACAATCTTTTCAAATGAAACAGATATCCTGTTTCAAACTAATGGTGGATAAAGCCACCATGGGAATTTGAGTACTTTTTGGTAGCTTTCGTTTCTTTTGTTTGAGCTACAATATCTTTGTTGTCCAATTGACCTTCTCTATTTAGTAAGAAGATAGCGAGAAGATAGGCGGTTGGAAAGGGGAACTAAGCATTCCTTATAATGGTGTGGAAACCTCTCCTAATAGACGCGTTTTAAAACCGTGAGACTGACGGTGATATGTAATGAGCCAAAGCGGACAACATCTGCTAGCGGTGGGCTTGGACTGTTACAAATGGTACCAAAGCCAGACACCAAGCAATGTGCCAGCGAAGACACTGAGCCCCCAAGAGGGGTAGATTCTGAGATCCCATATCGGTTGGAAATGGGAACTCATCATTCCTTATAACTGTGTGGAAACCTCTCTCTAACAGACACGTTTTAAAACCGTGAGGCTAACGGCAATATGTAACGGGCCAAAACAGACAATATCTGCTAGCAGTGGGTTTGGGCCGTGAATCTTTAAGCATTTAAAATTAACAAAAAAAATAAAATAAAATTAAGCTGACACCATGGGAGAGACAACTATGAAAACGTTTGAGGCTTTAACTATGGAGAAATGTATCTGTTATTCATCAAGAGGATGATACATTAGTCTAGCTACTTTTTAAAAAAAAATCGATTGTTACTTGTTTAACATTATTGTAGAATAACTTCAGGCTTATCCAGATGGGATAGTCCAAAAGCTCAACTCTTATTTAATGAAATCATGTTCTTTTTAGTCCCGAATGACATTTAATATATCCGACACTGATGTTGGCATTCACTCTTGGTCAAAACTGGCATATTGTGAATCATCATATACAAATCACTTCTACTTTTAGATTTGGAAGGCTATTGCATCTACAACATTGTGTACAGATTTTATCCAGGTGTTTCTGATGCTCTGAAGTTTGCAAGCTCAAGGATATACATAGTTACCACAAAGCAGGTTGGATCCACACTTGACACTTACTAAACTCTCTAACACCATGTATCTTTCCTTGGAGTTATGCATCTTCTCACATATCTCATATGCTTCTCTTCTCTTTTTTTGGCGCAGGGTCGATTTGCCGATGCTCTACTACGAGAACTTGCAGGAGTGGCCATACCTCCCGAAAGAATATATGGTCTAGGAACGGGGTTAGTATATTCCTCTAGCATAATTGCCAGCAGGGTTGTTTCCAAATTTGCTACAACATCATGGTTCAACACAAATATTCTGGAATTTTACCAAATAACTTAATTAAATGTATAATTAGGCTCCACTCATGCAAATTGATATTTTTTTTCATGTTCGAACCACAGTGGACTATTTCATTCTTGCTAATTAAAATAAATAGAGTCATTAACGAGAAAATGGTTTGTATGAGTGCAAAATTAACTACAAAAAGACTTGATATAACTCTGCTTATAGAGAGTTATCAATAATCTTCACTAGCTCTTTGGATTTGTTTGACATATCATGAAAATATTTTCCCTCATTTCTTCTTAACTAACATTATTGATTCCTTTCAGTCCGAAAGTAGAAGTTTTAAAGCTGCTTCAAAAGATGCCTGAGCACCAAGGATTGAAGCTGCAGTAAGATATCTCTCATATTTTCACTCATCAATATTAGCATTGCCTGTTATAAGTGCCATTATACATGTTTTGTTCCTTCTTTTCTCTTCTCTCCCTTCAAAAGAGAGAGAAAACTAAGAATGTATGTGCTTTAAATGTGGCCAGCTTTGTGGAAGATCGATTGGCCACTCTAAAGAATGTCATCAAAGAGCCAGAATTAGATGCGTGGAATATATATCTGGGTACTCCTCCACTCTCCCTCTTTCAGTCTTTTCTCGAACATAATGATACTTTCATATTATCCTTTGACGTCCTAAAGTCCTTTTGAGAGAAAAGTTATAGATGAAGGGTAAGAATCCACTAAGTAGGAACAAAGGATTCACATCGATCGGATAAGAGAATGAGTGCCAGCAAGGATGCTGGGCCTCGAAGGGGGGTGGTTGTGAGATCCCACATCGGTTGGGGAGGAGAACGAAACATTCTTTATAAGGGTGTGGAAACCTCTCCCTAGCAGACGTGTTTTAAAAACCTTGAGGGGAAACCTAAAAGGGAAAGCCCAAAGAGGACAATATCTGCTAGTAGTGGACTTGGGTCGTTACAGTTATAGATGAAGGGTAAGAATCCACTAAGCAAACGCATAACCAAGAATAAAGGATTCACATCGATTAGATAAGGGAATGAGTGCCAACAAGGACACTGGCCCAAATGGGGGTGGATAGATCCCACATCGGTTGGAGAGGAGAACAAAACATTCTTTATAAGGGTGTGGAAACCTCTCCCTAGCAAATGCATTTTAAAAACCTTGAGGGGAAGTCCGAAAGAGGACATATCTGCTAGCGGTGGGCTTGAGTTGTTACAGTTATAGACGAAGGGTAAGAATCTACTAAGGAGATGCATAACAAGGAACAAAGGATTCACAATTGCCCCTTCAATTTATCTAAGGTTTGATATCTTAATTTTCTAAGCTTTGGCTCTGTTGCTAATGGCTGCATATGGGCGTTCATTTGATGAGCATTAATCTTGTCTTACTGCTAATAGTGGACTGGGGATATAACACACAGAAAGAGAGAGAGGAAGCAGCTGCGATTCAAAGGATTCAACTTCTTCAGCTATCTGACTTCAGTACGAAGCTCAAGTAAGCACTTCATTGTTTCCAATTCATATTTATGTATCCTTTTTGCATATGAATGCTAATACTGATTATCTATTACATAATTTGAATTGATATTCATATTTGATAATTATCTTTTCGTTTACCCTTTTCATATTTCTACTTGAGATTATGAGATTTTGAGGTATTTGACTTCTAGTTAAAATTCAATTTTGGCGGAATTCATTTTATTTTAGTTCCTATTCTTTAAAATATCCTAATTTAATGTTTTACTTTGAATGGATCTTAAAATTAGTCCTCGTCGTTGGCTTCAAATTAATAATGGTTGAAATTTAGGGTTGTAGATTATCGAACTTTGTCATCACACATCTCGGGTTGTAACTTCGTACATAAGACCATAACTCCAAAATAGTTAGGTAAGTAAATTCAAATCCCTTGACTTAAAGTTCTTATACTAGTGTGAGATCCCACGAAGAGGGGAATGAAGCATGATGTGGAAATCTCTCCATAGTGGATCCGTTTTAAAATCTTGAGGGAAGCTCGAAGGGAAAAGCTCAAAGAGGACATAAAACCTTGAGGGAGAATATCATTTACTTACATTGTCATTTACTTGTCATCATTTGCATAAAAAAACATCTATAAGATATACAAGAAAAAAAGTGTTACTAAATAACGTTCAAATCATTTTTCAAGGACGAAAATGAAATAAGGTTAAAGTTGGGAGTACGAAAATGCAAATTAGAATACAAAATTTGACATGTGAGAACCAAAGAACAATCCTAATCAAACTTGTTCTCTAATGCAAATAGAGACACAAACAACCACAAAATGGCAAAAAGAAAAGAGAAGAAAGTACAAAATTTGGAAACTTTGGTCCTCTTTCAATCTTTTTCAATACATTTTCTTCCCTTTGCTTCTTTGCCCATTCTTCAACTCAAAGGCCAACCCCTCTATCCCTTCTCGGAATCTCAAAATGTATATTTTTGTCTCTAAACTTAAATGACGGGTTCTTGCTGTTTGTCAGGATTGCTTAATGAATGGATCAAATGACATCAGATATAAAATCAAAACGATCGTTCATCTAAAATTTAAAGACTAAATTAGCTCATTTCAATATTTATCGACAAAAATGTCTAATGTTTTTTTCATCTAGAGAACTCATTAGATTGTTGCGAGCGGAACGAACATGGCGTGCTTTGGAAGAAGCGATCTATTATCAAGCCGTATTATTAGGAAAAGCATCTATAAATACTCAAAGTTTCATATTAGAAGCAAGTTTCAAGAAACTGCTCGAGTTTTAGCAAAAGCCACCCTCCGAGGTCTGGTACTAGATTCGATCCTATTTGTCTCTTTTTTTTGTTTTTTTTTTTCGACTTCACGAATTATGTGGTAGAAAATTAAATCATTAAGAATAATTGTTTATAATAAATTTAAACCTCCACCACCCTAATTTGGGATCCACCAATTGCATTTGGGAATAATGATGGTTGGTAGGAAAAGTAATTATTATGCATTATTTTAAATCATTATAATATAATATATTATTAGTGTAAAATATTTTATTATGCATAAAATAATTCCTCATCAAACAATATTATTTTTCACATCCTTAATTTCTCAAGAAAATTAATATAAAAATATTTAATCTAACTTTTTTCTATGAATAAAATAATTGAACAAAAAAAAACATAGATCATTTTAATTATTTAAACAAAGTAATATGAAATATTTTTATATATTTTAATTGAAAAATATTAATTTTGCATCTCATAGAGTAAAAATCATTACTTAAAAAGAAATTAAAAAATATATATTTAAGTTTCAAAATACTTACCTAAATTATATAAAAAAAAAAAAAATCTTGCTGACGAATATATTATAAACATATTCAATAAATAGCTTGCTTAAATTAAATTAAATTTAATTTATAAAAATAATTTGTATCATAATTTATGATAAATGAATAAATCCCCCAATCAAATTTTACCAGTCAAACCATATTAGACTCTTTTTGACCGTTGGAGTTCAGCCGCCAGCCGCCCCCTCACGTCTCACATACATTGAATGAGAATTATTTTCTTTTAAATAATATATTTTTTTTAATTTTGAAAAAAAAAAACCTTTTTGAATTAATTTAATCGAGTTCCTCAATGGGCACGGTTCCCATTTTATTTTTATTTTAAATATGTATATTTTAAAAAATAAATAAATTATTTTTAAAAATTCTTAAAAAATTGATATTTAAAAAAAAAAAATTAAAGATAAAATACAAATTTTAAAGATATACTTATTAATTTAGCATTATATAAATAATATTTACGAATAAAATTTAATATATTCACCCATGGATATAGTTCGACGGGTTAACCCATATATTATTGATCAAAATATTAAATATTTAAATCTTTATATCAATATGTCGTTGAATTAAGAATATGACAAAAGTATAGTTTGAATATTAAAATGCAGAAATTCGAACATATCTCAACAAATGAGACATTATTTACCATTTCAAATGTCGATATTAAATCATAATATCATATAAATAATACACATTTTTACTTGTCGACGTAATATATATATATATAATTTATTTTGGAAATTTCCATCGGCATCAATATTTTATTAAATTTTAACGAGATGTAATTTATTTATTTATTTACTGAAAAAACTGAAAAATCCACATTTGTTGATTTAAAATATGATTAGAACAATAACAAGACGACAAAACAGGTAAAATGGAGGGACAGCGGCCACGTGGAAATTCAGCACAATCCCGTAGGGCCCACTTTTCCCGTGCATGTATCTCCCACCTCAAGATTCCTTTCACTAAAGTTTGAAACCTAATTTCAATAATTCGATGAATAATAATAAATAATAATAGTATTATTATTTAAAAACGTCATTTTATAAGTTTTGTTCTTATATTATATTTTATGTATATATATGAAAATATTATTTATAAATTTTATCTTATTAATTTACCAAAATTTTAAAAAAGTGACAAAATTATAACCTATAGTTAATGATTGAAACTTTATATTAAGAAAAATGCATTTTAAATTTTCAACATATTTTAAGGAGTTTTTTTTTTTGTCCAGTAATTACAAAGCGAAAAAAAAGACATTAATATTTGAAATATTATTGATATTTTATTTACTAAACTATCTAATTTCACCTAATACAATTTACTATAATTATCGTGTTAATTTAATTATATTTTTGTTAAAGGATTAAAAAAAAAAACCGTCCATTAAATATCTATAAACTTTTAAAATGTCAAATAAATAGACGGTACAATTAGTCATTTATAAAAATTCATCGGTCCAGTGATTTATCATACACAAAATAAAAAAGTCAAAGATCAAATTCAAGAACCGTTCATATTTTAATCTCATATTACACCGGTTGGGTTGAGGAAATCTTTTAGATTAAGCTAAAATTTTAGGCTGATTGGATTTGTGATCCGAACAAACCTAATAAAATTCACAACCCAACCCACCCAAACCTTTTATTTTTAGGTTGATTGGAGTGAGTTGTCGGGATTTTTTTTTTCAATTATTAAAAAAAATCATACTTATCTACCGTACATATTACATTAATAATCAAAATGTAATAAAAGTCAAACATTTATATCGGTCAATGTTAAATATTATTAATTTCGGTAATAATCTTCAATGTAAAGTATGGTAGAGTTAGATTGTAAATCTATTCTTAAGTTGGTCTCGACAATCGTTTATGTAGTAGACCAATTTGTTAGCATCTCCCGAGCTATTTTTTATTAATATTATGAATAGGCTGTTTTATTTTTTAGTTTTATAAATAATTTTATAAATAAAAAGTATCATTTTAATGTTAAAAAAAAAAATGGTATTTCGAATTTTTCAAATACGAGTAGAATAATAATAAATAAATAAGGTAATGCAGAGGCAGCAAATGAGAGCCAAAGGAAGGATATCGAGTACAAAAGGCGGAAGAAGCCATTGGCGACCATCACTCCCAATTTCTTCCTCTAATTTCATCTCCTCTCTGTAATTTACCATCTCTCTAGGGCTCTACTTCTTCAAATTTCTCAAAGAAGCAGATTCCAGTAATCGACATCAATGGCGAGTGCCGCGTCGAGGAGTTTGATGAAGCAGAGGGCGGCGATTTCATCCGGCGCTTGTTCGTCGATCAGGAAACTATTCTCCACTCAAACGGTTCAAGATTCTTCTTCTTTTGCTCAGAGACTCAGAGATCTGCCGAAGGATCTTCCTGGAACAAGCATCAGACGAGATGCTGCTCATGTGAGTTTCTCGATCCCTTCCGATTCCGATTCTTGTCTTTCTTTGAACTGCTCCATACGCTTCCAATGAACTTCGATTATGCTTTCTCCATTTCTTTGTTCTTCAGTTCTGGATTTTTCTGATACCAATCAGGAACGAGAAGATATGGATAAAAAAATAATTTTCTTAAGAAAATAAAAATAATTGCTGTGAAATTTTTAGGGTTGCTCAGAAAGAGGGTTGTAACTAATTCGTGTACAGTATAATTATTTATTTTATTTTTAAAAAATAAAATAGTCATTAAAATTCGATAATTGTAAAAAAGAGTCTTATTAACTATATTTTAAAAGGGATTCTATAAAACATAATAATAAGCTAAATTAATTGAAATACTTTGTTTAAAAATAGAGTATTCCAAGATATTTTTTAATTATTTTTTAAAAGTTTAATGATATTTTAAATTTAAGGGTATTATTAAATTTTTGAAAGTTTAAAATTATTTTTCAAATAAAATATAAAATTAAGAAAATATTTATAATTAATTTAGCATATATATAGGAAGCTAGAGACTAAAATAATTATTTTTGAAAAATAAAATAAAATATTTTGGAAATTACATTTAAAAATCCAAAAATACCTTTTAATTGGAAAATACAAAGACCTAATAATAATAATAATAATTAATAAAACTTGAAATTAGTTGCCAAAAGGGTTTATTTGTTTTTATTTTTTTTTTTTTTTTGGGATGGGAAAAAGTAAGGAATTTATTTTTTATGATGAGGACACGAATCACTAGAGAAATCCTTATTTTATTTTATTTTTAATATTTAATTGTTGGGTTCTGGTTTCAGTGGGATGTTGTCTTTTAAAAATTAAATTAAATATTTTTAAAATACATAAATTAAATTTAACCAAAATCAAATAAGAAAATATATGTTTAATAACACAACATAATGCTTTTTTTTTTTTTTTTTTTT